CTCCTGCATTGAGCATCTGCCCCCTGGTGGTCAGTGTGTGTCATAGTGACTAGTCATTCCCAGTTGTTCTACTGTTAGGGTCAGTTTGCATATTACCCTTTTACTACATAGGATAGAGGCCTGGTGCCTGGGTGGGGGCCGGCTGGTTTGCTTTGAATGGTGTCCTGGGTCAGGGTGGGGGTCCCTCTTGGGTGCCTCGCCAGCCTGGTTGAGGGGCTGATGGCTATTTGCAGGCTGGTCACACCCCCTTCAGGGTGGGGGGTCCACTGGGGTACCTGGCCAGTCTGGGTGAGGGCTGAGGGCCGTTTTCAGCCTGGCCAAGCCTCCCGGCGATGGAAGCTCCCAGCCTCTCCTTTTTTTCTTTTTTTTATTCTGAGATTTATTTACCTTCTATAATTGAAACTTTGTAGCCTTGAGAGGAGCTCAGAGCCGGCTAGGGTGGGCAGGAGGGAAGCGTCCTGCTCGCTCCAGCTCCATGGCCACGGCCAGTGAAAGCAGGTATCTGAGGCTTATTTATCTTCTATAATTGAAACTTTGTTGTTTTGAGTGGAGCTCAGAGCTGGCCACGGCAGGCGGGAAGCTTGGCTTTCACCATCATTGGGGCAACCAAGCCTCCTGCTTGCTCCAGCTCCGTGGCTGCTGGCCACCATCTTGTTTGAGTTAATATGCATATAGTCGCTCCAACTGGCTGGTGGGAGTGCCTTAAGGCATAGCGAAGGTATGGTCAATTTGCATATTTGTCTTTTATTAGTGTAGATTATTAGGTACACAAATAATTAATGTCACTAAATGATTACTAATCTGAAATAATCAGACATCTAATATAATATTTAGTAAGCTAGAAATATTAGCTTATAATATAGAATAGAGAAAGTAATTGTGAGGAAATAAAAGATAATTGATATTTTAAGCCTGGGTGAATAATAAACATTGTTAACAAAAATAAGGGTTTAAAGAGGATCTACTTATGAGGGAAGATAGTATTAGGCAGACATGAGTAGAGCAAGGATGATGGGCCAGGTACAGAAACTCACCAGGGCAGAAAGCCCAGATGCCTAGCAAGGGGCAAAACTGGGAAAAAAAGAACCTTGTCCCCATGGTAACCTATACTCCTTTAGCATATCACCAGGTATGCAGTTTAGAACCCCTGACCTTTTCCTCCCTAAAGATAACATCTAGGCCTCAGTTACATTTCATCTCCAGGTCCAGAAAAGCAGCAAACAAGACAAGTGGTGCTGCCATGGCTGTCCCTGTACTGGTTACATTGACTAATGATCCCCTGCCCTGGCACCGACCAATCAGTGGAGACCACAACCCAGAAAGAGCACACCTGGAAAACTGATGAATATTCTATGGAGATACTCCCCTGAGACCTCCCCTAAGATTTCCTCCTGCAAGAGAGAGAGATAAATTGGCTCAAGACAAATGACCCAGCATGTACTCTCCCTCCCAGGAGCATGCCCTTACCATTCCTGTTCTCCTTACTTTCCCCCTCAGGAACATATTCCCTAACCTAAGGGATCCCATGAGACTTGACACCAGGAGAGCAATGGGCAGAGGCAACTCATCTAGAGTTAACCCCCTGAACCTGTGTCCAAGGCCCCTTCCCTCTGACTTCTCAGTGAGCCAAAGCAGCCCAGCCTAGGCTTTCCTGTTGCTTCTCTCATGCCCTTCCTTGTTTCACTGTCCTAGGTATATTTTTGCTGCCATTATGGAACCAATACCCTTTTGACTCAGTGCTATGTAGTCCTTCCCTTTGGTTATCCCCATCTCCCATCCCCTTTTCCTGAAATAAATTCAATTTTTCTTTATTCACCATCTGAGATAGCTATTTAGCCTGCCCATGTATCACCAACTTCAATCTTTCAGATAGGATTAGCTAGAAAAAAATGGAGACAAAGATATACTAAATCATGTCCTTCTATCATGTGAGGATGCAGCAAGAAGATGGCAGTCGGCAGATACCAAATCTGCCAGTGTTTTGATCTTGAACTTTCCAGCCTTCAGAACTGTGAGAAATAAATATTTGTTGTTTCAGCCACCCAATCTATAGTATTTTTTTAAATCCTCACAGAAGGACATGCTTAAATAGAGGAAGGGAGACAGAAAGAGATAAACATTGATCAGTTGCCTTCCTCACGCACCCCAACTGGGGATCAAACCACAGCCCCGGTATATGCCCTTATCAGGAATTGAACCGGTAACCTTTTAGTGCACAGGATGATGCTCAACCAACTGAGCCACTCCACCAGACAGTGCTATGTTTGTTATAGTGGCCTGCAGAAACTACTGTAATGTCCCTCTGTCTTTGTCATACCTGCACAAGCTCAAGGTTATAAATGACCCACTCATAGTGGGAAACCAAAACCTGGCCACAGAACAATGGAAAACTGGCAGGTGGCCTTAAGAAAGAAGATCTACTAAATCATGAACCAAAAACTAAAAAATCATGGTTATATATCTAAAAGAAGCATTTTCTTTGAAAAGCAGAGTAGAAGGCTTCTTTGAGTACTTGCCACTAAACATGTTAGTTGTTTAATCCTTTTATCAATATGCTCAAAACATTAAATCTAATTCCATCATACCATTATTCTATTTTAGTGTTTACAGTCAATTATAGATATATTCATATATATAGTCAAATTCTATGATATATATAGTATAGTTAAATAAATGAAACCTACCTTGCTGAGCTGTAGATCATATTTGTTTGAAAAACCACTATAAAAAAGGTTTTGTCAAAATTAAGAAAGCAATTAAATATCAGTAGAATGTTTTCCATAAAAGGCATTCTATATAAGGTAGAACATATTTGAGTCACTAAGTCCACATCCATATGTTTCTAAATCACTGTGATGTGATAGCACTCGTACCCTATTTTCGCACCTTCACTCACAGTATATAGCAACAATAATATTTAATTCTAAGCTGAATCATTTATGTAGCAGGAGGTGCCAAGCAATTTAAATTGAATGTTCTGCCATGAAAATAATAATTTTCATTCCTTACAATAAGAGTGGAATGAATTTAAATATGAATTAACCAACTGGCAGCCTATAAAAATACATTTTGTAATAAGAAAAGAACTAACCTTCAGAAAGATTATAAACAAGGAATACATATTTACTATATAAAAGTAAATCATTTCAGCTTATTTAAATTTCATTTTTGTTTTTTTTATTTTTAATTTAAGTTCTTTATTGTTTAATGTATTACATAAATCTCCTTTTTCCACCATTGACCTCTCCCTGGCATTCCCCAAACCCTAGCACATGCCCTCACCTCCCCTCCCCATCTGTGTCCATTGGTTATGCTCATATGCATGCATATTAAGTCCTTTGGTTGATCTCTTAATTAAGCAATATATTTAAATATGCTTCATTTTACTCATCACTAGACTCAATGAAAAATTTCTATAATGTCTATATCTTAAAGATTTCTAAAATGATATGCTGCATCAATTTGGTATTTTTAATATTTTATAAAATGTAATCAGATACTACAATGTCTAATTTCAAATTTAGTTTTAATTTAAACAGTTACTATTTTTAAAAGTAAATAAGTTACTATGTGTTCTCTCCTAGAAAGTTACATTACTTTAACTTGTTGAAAACTAACCTTAAAACAGTGTAAAACAATTTAGTTGTATCTGTCAGAAAGATATTCATTTCTAAAACTTAGGAACATACCTGTTAATGAAAGACTCCTTTAATTTTCTTGCAGACCGTATAGCATCATTTGGTTTGTATCTCTTATTAATTTGGCTTATCAAGGATTCTGCTGCATCAGCAAGTATTTTCCCTTTTGACTTTTCTCTCTGAAACAATTCATAAGTTACTTAAAAACTCTGTAAGTTAACCTTCAAATGAAAATAAAGGCTGAAAAAAATTAAGAAAAATATGGCTCTATGTATAGCCACAAAGAGAAATAAAGGGAGCCAGAGGTGACTTGGTAGCTTGGGCTTTGTTGAGCATGAAAACAAGCCAGGGTCAGTCCTTTCCCATATAGAAAGAACTATGGAGAGTGCTCTGTAGATATTGCTTTTTAAAAGTTTCTATCCATAGAAAAAAAACTCATATAAAAAACTAAAGGAAACTAAAAACTGGTTCTTTGTAAAGATCAATAAAGTTGGAAAGCCTCTAGTAAGGTTAAGAAAATAAGAAAGATGTAAAAGACAGATATTATTAATACCAAAAGAGGCTATCACTACTGATTACATGGACATTAAAAGGATAATAAAGAAATACTATAGACAACTCTATGCCCACAAATTTGATAACCTAGATTAAATGGACCATTTCCTTGAAATTCTATAAAAACTCATAGAAGAATTACCTGACTAGGCCTGTATCTATTAAATCAATAGTTAATACCTTCCAAAAAAGAAAGCACCAGGCCCAGGTGGGTTTATTGGTGAGTTCTATAAAACATTTAAGAAGTACAACAATTTTCTACAATCTTCCAGGAGACAGAAGCATAGGGAATACTTCCTAACTCACTTTATGAAGATTCTAGAGGCCCAGTGCATGAAAATTCATGCACTAGAGGGGGTATCCCTCACCCCGGTCTGTCCACTCAGGGGTGGGAGGCGACCCAGCGATCAGGGGAAGGCGAGGCCCCCATCACACTTCTGCTGCTGCCACTGCCAGCAGTGCAAGCCTTGGCCGGTCCTGGTTACTTGAGCCTTGGGTGGCCCTGGGTGGCTGGGGGGCTGAGGGGACTGAGGGGCTCTGGAGGCAGGCCCGTGGGGTGGGCCCAACCTTGCCGCATGCCTGCCACCCCGGTGGGACTAAGGGAGTGGGCGCCTCCATCTTTGAGGGCGGGGCAGTGAGTTAGCATATTCCCTCCTATTGGCTGTGGGCGCCACCATCTTTACGATGATGTGAAGGTCAATTAGCATATTCCCTCTTTATTAGATAGGATTATCAGCTCATGAACACAGATGCAAAAATCCTGAATAAAATATTAACAATCAAATCCAAAAATGTATAAAAAGAATTGTCTACCATAGCCAAGTGGAATTTATTTCAGGTAAGCAAGGCTGATTCAACTTTTGAAAATGAATTAATGTAATCCATAATATTAATAGGCTAAAGAAGAAAATCATTATCACATCAATAGATGCACAAAAAACATTTGACTAAATCCAATATCAATTCATAACTCTTAGAAAACCAGGAATACAGGGAACATCTTCTACTTCATAAAGTTCAGCTATAAAAAGAAAATACAGCAAACATCATACTTAATGGAAACTAGATGTTTTTCCACTAAGATCAGAAATAAGAAAAGGATGTCTGCTCTCACACTCCTATCAACATCATACTGGAAGTCCTATCTAAGGCAACAGACAAGTAAAGGATATACATAGTAAAAAGATAGGGAAGAAAGAAATAAAACTGTTTTTGTCTATGTAGAAAAATCTCAATCAACAAAAATATTTCTGGAACTAAAAAGCAATTATAGAAATGGTGAAAGGGCCGAAACCGGTAATTGGCTAAGCTAATCGCTTTCTTATACATCAGTAACTAACAATTGAAATATGAAATTATATTCCATTTACATTACCACCCCCAAAATGGAATCAAGAATAAATATGACAAACATATACACAAGATCCATGTGAGGAAAAATACATGACTCTGATGAAAAATAAAAAAAAACATCAAAATAAATGGAAAGGCTCAATATTGTCAAGAGATGAGTTCTTTCCAATTTGATTTATAGATTCAATGTAATCCCAATCAAAATCTCAGACTGTTATTTTTTGGTTATCAACAATATGATTCTCAAGTTTACATGGAGAAGCAAGAGATCCAGAATAGCCAACACAATGCTGAAGGAGAAGAACAAAGTTGGAGAACTGACAGTACTCTACTTTTAAGGCATAATGATAGAGTTATCAGTATAGTGTAGTATTGGTGAAAGAATAAACAAAGAGAATGAAAGAAAACAGAGAGCCCAGATATAGGTCTCAAAGTATGGTACAAAATACCTAAAACTGTCCTAGAGATGTTCTACAGATGATTCATCTGAAGAAAGTGGGGCAGCCAATAGGGATGAGCAACAGTTATAGAAGAAGATAGTATCTTCCACCCCACTTACATCCTTTCTTGAAAAACCTTGTAAAACATTAATGCAATAATGCAAGAAATACTTCAGATGCTACTATGTGCAAAGTATAAATGTTGAATGAAAGTCTTTACACTTATAAAGTGAAAAATATCACAAAACACAACCATTTATTTAAGAAGAAAGGTAAGCACCATTTGAGAGGCAAAGGCACACAGTTCTATATGTATGTTCAAAAGAATCTAAGGGACAGAGTGGGAGACCCAATAAGAGGAAACAAGGCAGAAACTAATATTAATATCAAATGGCAACTGTAATTGAAAAGTAAAAGTATATGTTAATAAAATGAATTTATCCTGTAAACTTTACAAATGTATTATAGAAATTGTAATATAACTAGAAAATGAAAAATTACATATGTGGCTCACAGACACACAAAAAGGAGCCAAAACCGGGTTCATTCATGCAATTCCTATGTACATTCCTATGGCACCCACAGGCATGTGATTTATCAGAGCCAGGATTAGGGAGAGATGCAGGAATTCAAGATGCACTTGCTTTGAGTTTGTATTAAAGAACAAGGTATTTACAAATGTTAAATTTACAGTAATCAAACAAGCTTCTTTCTCTTATGTTATTAAGTAGGCATGTTATGGGTAAGCAGAAATAAAACACACTGAATGCTCACCATTTTTTTTTGTTTCAAATCCAAGGAATTAAGTTCAGATGTTAATCTTTTCCTTGATTTCCTAAGACTCCTTGCATTTTTACTAGGAGAGGGGCTTTTATCACAAATAGCAGTATTCACATCTTTTGACAATATGTATTTTTTCCTATAGATGAGAGATTCTTCAACTGTTTTATTTAGGAGAACTGATTTAAAAGTAGTTTCAGATTCAATATGCCAATCACTCTGCTTGGTATTTTCAATATTTTTCTGCTTTGAACATTGATTTAGTTGTTGATTGGTTCTTCTGCAAACATCTACTTCTCCTTTATCTATTTTGTTACGCTGCGTTACTTCTTTCTTATATTCCACCTTTCCTGTTTCTTCAGAATTATCATCAGATACTGAAGAGGATGATTTTTGTTTAGTAAAATTTTTGTTGATAGAAATATCTAGTGGGAAAAAGAGAAATTAATCCTTATCTATCTATATAAAACCCTAATATGCAAATCGACCCAATGGCAGACCAACCGGTGGAACGACTGGTTGCTATGACATGCACTGACCACCAGGAGGCAGACGCTCACTGCAGGAGCTGCCCCCAACCCGAAGGCCCTGACAGATGCTTGTGGGGGTAGGAGGACTGGCAAGCAGGCGGTGGCAGGCCAGCCAAGGCAGGTGTTAGTGGGGGCCCCCTGATCGTCCTGCTAGTCATCCCATAGACACCAGTCACCCCACAGAGAGAAGCAATTGGCAGTGGTGGGGCCAGCAAGCGGGCAGCGCCAGGCCAAGGTGGGTGCCCCAATCACCCCGCCGGTTGCCCCACAGATCGGCCCTGGTCACTGGCCAGGCCTAGGGACCCTACCTGTGCACTAATTTCATGTACCAGGCCTCAAGTTAAATTAATAAACTGATAATGTATAACCTTCATTAAAATCAAAGATATTTGTCAGACATTTCAAGAAATGAATATTCCCCTGAACTACTATTATATACAGAAAAAACTATAGTTGACCCTTGAACAACACAGGGTTAGGGGTATCAACCCCTACACAGCCAAAAATCTATGTATAACTTTTGACTCACAAAACTAAATAACCAGAGCCTTAATAATAACAGTTAATTAATATATATTTTATGTGAAATGTGTATTATATACTAGAGGCCCAGTGCACGAAATTTGTGCAGGGGGGGGGAGGGTGTCCCTCAGCCTGGCCTGCACTCTCTCAAATCTGGGACTCCTTGGGGGATGTCTGACTGCCAGTTTAGGCCTGATCCCCGGGACTGGGCCTAAGCCGACAGTCATAGACATCCCTCTCGCAACCCGGGACCGCTGGCATCTAACCGCTCACCTGCCTGCTTGCCTGATCACCCCTAATCACTCTGCCTTCCTGCCTGATTCCCATAACTGCTCCCCTGCCTGCCTGATCGCCCCTAATCACCTCTTCCTGCCTGCCAGATCATCCCTAACCACCTCTGCCTGCCTGCCTTATTGCCCTAACTGATCTCCCTACCGACCTGATCCCTCTAACTGCTCCCCCATGCTGACCTGATCACAGTAACTGCTTTCCCCTGCTGGCCTGATCCCCCTAACTGCTCTCCCCTGCTGGCCTGATCACGTAACTGCTCTCCCATGCCGACCTGATCGCCGTAACTGCTCTCCCCTGCTGGCCCGATCTCCCTAACTGCTCTCCCCCTGCCAGCCTGATCACCCCTAACGGCTTCTGTCTCGGCCCCGCCACAGTGGCTTTTTCTGGAAGGATGTCTGGAAGTCATCCAGAAGATGTCTAGTCTAATTAGCATATTATCCTTTTATTAGTATAGATTCTTTTCTCTAGTAAACTAGAGGAAAAAATATTAAGAAAACCACGAGAAAGAAAATACATTTACAAAATTTATTGAAAAAAATCTCCATATAAATGGATGGACCAATGCAATTCAAACCTGTGCTGTTAACACATTGCGTACCGCATAGAAATCTCTAAGACATACGCCAGGGACCACACGTTTTTGGGCAAACTGCATGTTATTTAAATCACCATAATGCACTTTAGGTGTTGTTTTTCAATAATTATAATATTTTTATTTACAAAAACAATTAAACAATTAAACAATTAAAGTTCCTAGTACTTTTTTAACGTATGGTACTGTGTAAAACATTTTCCTCTATGAAGAAGGACCAAACAAAATTTACATAAGTATCTAGATTTGCTCCTTTTCCATGGGTGTGAAAAACGAGAACACTCGTGAGAGGTCCTTAACAGATGGCGTGCAAAACATGAGAAAACTCCTGAGAGGTACGAAATGTGTTAAGAGTCAACTGTAGCTGGACTGGTATGGCTCGGTGGTTGAGCGATGACCTATGAACCATGAGGTCACCGGTTTGATTCTGGGTCAGAGTCAGGGCACATGCCTGTATTTCAGACTTGATCTCCAGTGGGGGACATACAGGAGGCAACTGCTCAATGATTCTCTCTCATCATTGATGTTTCTATCTCTCCCCCCCTCTCTCTTCCTCTCTGAATCAATAAAAATTTTTTTTTATAGAATCAACTGTATATGTTTCACCTTGAATAAATGTGTCTCCTTGTGAAGCACTTGATCTTTCATTACTACACAGTGTAATATTTGTTACAGGCATCCAACATGTCCATTTAGAAGAAATTTTATTTCCATGAATGTTGTATGAAACACCAGGTAACCTGGAAAATAAATTCACTTGCTTAATATATCATAAAACATTAGCTATAATTCTGACATAAGACTTTGTTTTTTTTTTAAATGTAGTCAATGTTTATTGATAGCAATTTTTACTAGTCCAGTATGAAAATGTTTTAGTAAGTCATTATAGAAGTTAAAATTTACCATATAATTAATCAAATTAGAGATTAAAAAGTTCCATTATTGCCAAACCGGTTTGGCTCAGTGGATAGAGCGTCGGCCTGCGGACTGGAGGGTCCCAGGTTCGATTCCGGTCAAGGGCATGTGCCTTGGTTGCAGGCACATCCCCAGTGGGGGGTGTGCAGGAGGCAGCTGGTCGATGTTTCTCTCTCATCGATGTTTCTAACTATCTGTCCCTCTCCCTTCCTCTCTGTAAAGAATCAATAGAATATATTTAAAAAAAAAACGTTCCATTATTGCTACTATATTTATATCTACCTAAATATAACTCACATAATTTACATGTCCACTGTATATTTAAAGTAGGTTACATTTGTATACATTCATACTTTATTCTTTTTAAAATCTCATTCATCTGAACCTCTCAATTTAAAAGTAGTTATGTTGGTACAAATGGATAAAACAGACTATTCCCCATTGTGCTATCATAATACTTGAGAGATGATTAATGCTATAAACAATCCTATCTAATAATAGAGAAACATGGTAATTAACCATAACTTCGCTACCCTTCCCATTGGCTAATCAGTGAGATATGCAAATTAACCGCCAACCAAGATGGCAGCCGGCAGCCAGGCAGCTGAAGTGAACAGGAGGCTTGCTTGCTCCAGTGATGGAGGAAGCCAAGGTTCCCT